TGTTTATATACTTGTGTTAAGCAGGGTTCTCTAGAGACACAAAACCAGGACATATATATATGGATAGGTTTATACAGTGAGAAGGAATATAATGGATAATTAGTCCACACAGCAATACAGAGGGCTCAGTTCAATTAACTTTTGTGGAACAGTTAATATACTGATGGTCCTTCAACACTCGTGGGCTGCCTGTCCAAGGTCAAGGAAGCAGAAATCAGAGTTTTCCCTCAGGCAAGACAGGCAGAGCCATTCCGAAGGCAGCAGACAGTGGGGCAGGGCAGCAACAGTCAGTAGCACAAGGAGTTTAGTGCAGCAGGCCTCCATGGGATCTTACACACCAGCAGCATGGTAAAGCAGGTCTTGAAGGAGCCTCCAGCTCTAGCAGCACAATCCACAGGTTGGCTCAGCCCACAGGTAGTGCAGCACATGGTTGAGGCAAAGAACTAGCTTTGACCTGATTAAATTCCACCCACATGTTCCTATGAAGGCCTAGTTGACACAATAAACCTAACTATCACAATACTAGTTGCAAGGGACACTGGGGAGGAGTTATCTGACATTTAAAATTTCTAAACTGTATAGGGGTCCCATTCTGCAGAGCAGTTATATTCCGCAACATGGGGTTGACAGTCAGAGATAACTTAACATGAACTGGTTCAAGGTGACTTGAGAAGGGCAATGGTCTAAAACTCAATATCCTACAATGCTTAAGGAAAAGTCAATTAAGTACAATAAATAAATAAAATGGAAAGTTCTGCTTTCCTCTAGAATTCTGAGCATTTCCTTCAGGGCAAAAAGAATAAATAATGTCATTTATTAATGTCATCCAGTCAACGATTTGTTCTACATGAAATATAACTCTCCCTCTGCATTTGCAATTCAAAGAAATGTCCTAATTATTATTATGCCATTGACAGTGCAATTACCCACTCCTGAAAGTGGCATAACCCAAATTCTCATTTGCCAAATCCTGTTTACACATTTGGAATCTCTAAGTAATGACCTTTTCCTCTTAAAATCATAGCAGTACTTAAGATACCTTAATTAGAAAATCCACAACTGTAACCAGCAGACTTCTGTGGGTAAGACTCCATTTAGCTATTTTAAGCAGGGAGACTATAGATCTCACACACACACACACACACACACCTCTCCCTGTGGGTAAGACTCCATTTAGCTATTTTAAGCAGGGAGACTATAGATCACACACACACACACACACACACACACACACACACACACACACACA